GGTCGCCCTCGAGAACAGTACCAGCGCACCACGATAAAAGGGATGGATGCAGTGGACATTTACGCAGTTGCTCCGCAAAATACGGGGCTATGCTACCACTGTGGCCGACCGGGTCACATCAAACGCAACTGCCAAGAGTTCATAGCCATCCAGAATTCTATGGGGAAGAAGCCGGAGGAGCGACCGGGAAATGGGTCGCGTCAGCAAGTACCGGGCCCCTTACTGACGGGCAGGCTTCTTCGCCCGAGCCACACAGTCCCCACCGGGTCATGATCCCGATTGCTGCAATCGACCGGACCCGGACGAATAAGGGGGACGAAACTGCTGATCACCCTGTGTTGGTGGAGGGTAAAGTCAACGGGGTGTTGCTGAAAATATTCGTGGATGGAGGCGCGAGTCACAGTCTCATACAGCTAGATAGGGCTAAGAAAATGGGTATCCCTTTATTAAAGTGTCTACCCGAAATCGACGCAAGACTGGTGGATGGTACACCGTTGGCTATACGGGAGCGGGTGGAGCACGTCAGTTTCCACTGCGGCGAGCACGTAAAATTTCGGATGGGGCTGCTGGCGACTACGCTCGACGGGTGCGACGTGCTGCTGGGACGGGATTGGGTGCGACAGTACAACCCAAGAATTGACTGGACGACGGGCAGCTGCAGCATCAAGATCGATGGGCACTATCACGAATTACCGAAATGGGCGGGACCCCGCATGCGAAGTACCCAAGTCCACACGATCACCTTCAAGCGCGCGATAGAAGCGGGAGCAGCAGCATACGCCGTCGATCTTCGCGAAGTGACATCGCCGATAACAGCGGAAGATATCATGAAGCTGTGTGAAGCCGTTCCTCCGGATTTAGCGGAACTCATTCGAAAATACCCCGAGATTTTCCCGGACGACCTACCCGCCGGACTTCCGCCAAGCCGACGCGAAGACCACCGCATCAAGCTGGAACCAGGCGCACAACCGACAGTACAGCGGCAATTTCGGCTCAGCCAACCGGAACTAGAGGAATTGTAGCAGCAGTTGGATTACCTCCTGACGAAAGGTTTTATCTGCCCAAGCACATCCCCATACGCCGCCCCCATACTGTTCACACCGAAAAAAGATGGCTGATCCCGTATGTGCATCGACTACCGCGCACTGAACCGCATCACCATCAAGTCCCGTTACCCGATCCCGCGAGCCGACGACCTACTCGACCAACTTCGCGAAGCCAAGTTCTTCTCGAAAATCGATCTGCGAGGAGGTTACCACCAAATTCGCGTCGCCGCCGAGGATTGCCACAAGACCGCCTTCCGAACCCGCTACGGCAGTTACGAATACTTGGTGATGCCTTTTGGGCTCACGAACGCGCCCTCGACTTTTCAGATGACCATGAACGGTGTTTTCCGCGAACTCCTGGATAAATGCGTAATTATCTACCTCGACGACATCCTAATCTACAGCCGCAGCAGGGAGCAGCACTTAAAGGATCTTGATGCAGTCTTCACGCTACTGCACAAGAATCGCCTCATCACGAAAGGGTCTAAGTGCGATTTTCTTAAGCAAGAGTTGGAGTTTTTGGGCCACGTCGTCTCTACCGAAGGCGTGAAAATCGACCCCAGGAAAATCAAGACCATACAGGAATGGAAGCCGCCGACCAACCTCAAGGAACTCCAAAGTTTTCTGGGTTTTGTCAACTACGTCCGCCGCTTTATCCCCAATATGGCTGGGATATCTGCAACGCTAACCGACCGATTGAAGGATCACGATTGTTTTTGGTGGGGTGAGAAGCAGCAAGCTGCATTCGACCAACTCAAAATCGCCCTCACGTCGCCGCCCGTCCTTCGCATCTCCGATCCCAACCGTCCATACGAAGTCATCACCGACGCCAGCGACATCGCCATCGGCGCAGTTCTCCTCCAGGACTTTGGCGACGGGCTGCAACCAGTCGCCTATGAATCACGGAAGCTGCAAGGCGCAGAGAAGAACTATACAGTGCACGACAAGGAAATGCTGGCAATCGTTCATGCGTTCAAGACTTGGCGGTGCTACCTGACCGGAGCTGACGTCACGGTGCGAACGGACCACAAATCCTTACAGTACCTGCGCGCCCAACCGAATCTCAATCCACGACAGATCCGATGGCTCAATTTCCTCGAGTCCAACTTCCACTACACCATCACCTACAAACGGGGTGCCAATAATATCGCCGATGCCTTGACCCGCCCTACCGTCCATACCGTTGCGATACTAATCGCCCAGACCAACCCATTACTTACGGGACTATTCACCCACGGCTACAAGATCGATCCCTTTTTCCGCTCAGCCATCCATCAACAGCATACCACAGCCACCGGGCCATATTTTTATAAGCGTGGTACTTCTCGCATTTGGGTACCAGACTACGATTTACTTCTCGCAGCGGAAATGACGCCATCCTCGTGGTCGTTGACCGACTCACAAAAATGGCGCACTTCATCGCCTGCCAACAGACAATCACCGCCGAACAAACTGCGCAGCTGTTCATTACGAACGTCATCCGCCTGCATGGCCTGCCCTCCGCCATCATTTCAGACCGAGACCCCAAATTCACCTTGAATTTCTGGCGCCACCTGTGGGACCAATTCGGCACCAAACTCCAATTTTCATCCGCCTACCACCCACAAACCGACGGGCAGACCGAACGCGTTAACCAAACCATGGAGCAGCTCATTCGCACCACCTGTACTGACCCATCGACATGGGAGAAATCCCTACCGCTACTCGAATTCGCGTATAATAACGCGACCTCAGCTACAACCCATCACTCCCCATTTTTCCTCAACTACGGACAGGACCCGGTAGTACCCTCTACACCGAACATCGAGTCACCAGTGCCCCGGTCCCAGAAATTTGCTGAAGACATTCTCGCCACTCGCGAAAAAGCAGCTGAAGCCATTCGGAAAGCTAACCTAATCGCAAGCCGACAAGCTGATCGACATCGACGCGACGTCATTTACAAAGTGGGAGATCTTGTCCTCCTCGACACTCGTAATTTGCGGCTGCCGATCCCGAGCAAACTCCGACCCAGATTCTGCGGACCTTTTCAAGTGACCAACCTCGTGACACCTGTCACTGTCCACCTTCGACTACCGGCTGATTGGCGCCATCACCCGGCTTTCCACGTCAGTCTTCTCCGACCCTACGTCCCGAGTTCGTCGGACTTATCACGCAACCGTGGTGTTCCACAACTGACGCCTTTGCAGGAACCGACGACCGAGCCCTTGAAAATTCTCGGCCATCGCATCACCACGCAGCTGAACCGTCGGATGGTTGATTTCCTCATCCGCTGGCGCGATCGCACGTCCGAAGTCGACAGTTGGGTGCCCCTCGCTGACTTAGAATCACATCCGATTCTAACGGCATATTACCAGCGTCGGAATGTCTCCGATGCCTACGGCCTCGTTTAGGAGGGGGGGGTAGTGTAAGGAATTTCCATTCCTTACTGAGTCGCCCGCTACCGCGTACACCCGAACACCTCGACTCATCACGTTCGGCCTACAATTTCGGCCCAACCCTTTCTCGAGTCGCGCCCGACAGCGTCGCCACAATTGCCGAACCTACCCACGTCCCGAGGTTATCGCCCTATTACGTCCACTCCTATATAACCTTGTGCTTTCATGGCAATAGGAACGTTGTATTTGCATTATAGTACATTGACATCTTCTAAATCATAACACTCTCATCTTGGAAGTAACACCAGAGGCCTCGACTTCATCCGCCGTTCCTTTCACTTGAAGACGCGTTACGTGCCTTTAGGACCCCGACACAGCAGCTTCATGCACCACTTAGAGTAGATACACCTCGTGACGCGGCAGAGTCCCTCCTGAGACCCGCTGGCGTATTTGAGATTGGGTGGGATGAGCCAGGCGATGAATTAGATGCCCTATTAAAACAGCAGTTAAACTAATACGAGTATCAATTTGGGGAGCCAGCAGTTACTCCATGAACGTATTGCCGCCGTTCATGCGCAGCTCTGGCGACAGCAGGTGGCGAAGGCACGGTTGGCGCTCACCCAGCTGCGGCGGCGGCGCGAGAGCTAGTTAGCAGCTCAGCCATGACTCTGCGTTACAGTCCATTTCCCTGCTATTGCAATTCCAACTGTCCGTCTTTCCGCAAAATTTCCCAAGGCATATGTGCTAACGCGATTTGTCCATGCCAGGGCCCCGAGTGCCCGCAATCAGCGGTGGCGTGGTGCGGCGAAGTGGCCTGTGCTGACGACCGTCTGTTTTGTTTCCCATATTTGTGGACCCGTTGTTGAATATTACTCGTAGTGTTAATTCAAAGAATGGCAGTCCAGTAATCGCCTCTATGTCCCTGCTAATCCCGTAATTTTTGTCACAACTGCCTTGCTTTAACACCAGAGTTAACAAACAAAGCCTATTTGAATTAGTGTATATAAAAGTTAACGATATTGTTTAGATCGTACCATGTGCGGGTGCATCCTCTCATACCTCTGTTTTGCCCGGATCCCGTCGAGCAACAATGAAACCGTAACAAATAGACACGATGTCGTAAAATGGGTCACACCTCACATTTGCTTATACTGTTTTCAGAATATGGGAAATACTTTACACAAACGTGTTGTTAGAGAACTTTCAATCAGAGATGAACATTTCGACATTTCGAATTTTGCCAGGTTGCGCGACGCGAGAACCACCTGCTTCCAAGTTGCGCACAAGATTCAGGTGGCTCGTACTTTGACGCTCTGGAGCCACTTTCTTTCACTAGCGCTTCCCAGGTGAATTCACGCCTGCCGACCTTGTCCCAACAGATTTCCCAGTGCTGCCGTTCCTGCATACGATCCTGTATTTCATTTGCCACTCTTAGACTTAACTCACTAGCAAGCGTTTTCGGCGTGAAACTCCTATCTTTCATGCATTCCTCCCCTTTTGCTGTTTTGAAAACGCTGTGGCAACACAGCGTTCTTGGGGTGCTTCGACCCTTTGCGCGCCGTAGTTCTGAGTACAAGAATGTATCGTTTTTGGTGTGACGTGTGCAATGTTGCGTACGACAGTGAAGTGTCGCTGACTAACCATGAACGGAGCGAGAAATGCATCGTCGCACACGCGAGAGCACGAGCACGACTGTCGCGGCCCCAAGGCGTGCTTGTTCCGCCATCAATGCCATGCGCCTCATCGGTGCTGCCCGATATGGCGGAGGTTGCAGCGTACATCCCCAGTCTTCCACAGGTCTCATTCAGAATGGCGCCGATGGACGTTGACGAGGATCCACCGTTTCATGATGCAAATCAGTTTTTTGCGGATGCTGACGAGCCGGAGGAAGAGATCAAGTTTGACACATTGCTTGAAACCTTTAAATTCTTGGCGTCGTGCAACAAGGGAGTCGGGCTCAGCTCAAATGACGTCTGGTGGTTTTTCAAACTCATTAAACACGCGGGATTCAACGTGGACGAGCTTAAAAACTGGAACACGAAACATGCAATCGATAAGTACGCATTGGAGCAGCTCGGGATCGAGAAGCGGCGTTATAAAACAGAGGAAGTCGAGGTTACCGGCTGGCACAAACGATTCAAGGTCAAGTTCCTCGACCCGGTGGAGGTACGTCGTTTCCCATGTTCTATCTTGGTCCCCCAAAGTGCACCTAAGTAGTTGCACGCTGGCTGATTGCATGCACGATGCCTACCCAACAACCAGCGCCTGTTGTCCATTGCAGGCTTTGATCAAGATGTGGGCGGATCCAAACAATCGCGAAGGATTTGTGCACCGTGCAAAGGCCGTATTAAAAAATGGGGAGAGAGTGTATGGTGCTGCTCACACGGCAGATTTCTGGCTGGATGGACAGGTGCCTGCCGTCTTAGCACGTCTCGTCGTCCGTTGTTTCTGCTACCACCCCGAGTTCTAAAGTAATTTTTGTTTCACTTCGCAGAAGGGTTTGCCAGAGGACGAGTTGGTTTGCCCCATCATAATTTCGAGCGACGAGACCGTTTTGAGCGGTAACGAGCTCGTGAAGGCATGGCCGGTCTACCTGACATTCACCAACATCCCCCTGGCTAGGCGCTGGCTGGACCATGGGAGGGTGCTGGTGGCTCTCCTACCTCTGCCCGACCCTGATATGGAGCCTTGGCAGCGGGTGGAGCTTTTCCAGCGGGCCATAGACATTGTGTTCAAGTCGATGTGGGAAGCCTGCCGCAGGTACTTTTGCTGTTTCTTAGCGATGTTTTCCATGGTTTTCCCTTTGTGGGAGGTGTGGTGAGATGCTTGGTTGTTGCTTCTTTTTCGTTGGAGGAAGTGAGGGGATGGGGTGCAGTGCCTGCAGCAGGGGCGGTGGTGATGCGATGGGCGCATTGATCGTGAATGTGAGGTGGGAGGAATGGGTGGTGGGGTGCTTGGTCGGTTGGTTGCAGGGGTGATGCATGGGGTTCAGTGCCTGCAAGGGGGGGGGGTGGTGCAATGGCGCTGTGAATTGTGAAGGTGAGTGCAGTGGGCGGGGAAAAGGAGCTTGCAAGACATCAGTGAGACCTCATTTACGCCATTCTCCAGAAAGGCTCTCAGGATAACAGCTCACGACTTTGCTGCTCTGCTGCCCAGCTAGAGGTCGCTTCCCTTCATTTCCCTCCCCTGCTACACCCACCCTCTTCGTCCCTCGCTGCACAGATGAGAGTGATGAAACGGCTGCTTGAGTGATGAAGCTATTTTCCCTTCATTCCCCTCCCTTTCTTCTCGCCCACCCTCTTCGTACTCCTTATTTTCCCCACCCTCTTTGCCGCTTGCTGCACAGATTGGAGTGATGAGATGGCTGCATGTGCTGCCCCAGCCAGCTCTGACTTCCCTTTATCCCCCCGCTTCTTCTCTCTGACACCATCTTAATTCCCCACTGCTCAGATGGAAGTGATGAAGGGGCTGCCTGTGCTGGCCCAGGCAGGGGTATCTTCCCATTATTCCCCCTGTTTCCAGTGGCTAGATTGGGATACAGATTACAGTCACCAACGTTCTGGTTTGTTGCCACCTTCCAATCAACGTCCCAGCCTCACTACAAGAACTAAACCTGCCCTTAGGCCCTAGCACCCATGTGCTCCACCTCTCCCTTGCGGGGATTTTCCCAGCCCCCCCTCCCTCCCGACCCTGTTCTCTCGTTTCTGCCCGAACGGACCTTTCTTCCAACCTCCAAAACCCCTTCACTTGATATTCATTGTTATGACGCTGGGTCGAGTCGCCCTGCACCTTGTTATCTAATCTTCACGTACAATGCTCCCTTTCATTTTTAATTTTGCCCCGCAGTTCTCTCCCTCTGACCGACCCTTTCGGTGAAGTGTTTACCGTGTGGCCCAAGCTCTACTCATACGTGGCTGACTACCCCGAAGGTTGCCGAGTCACTAGCACCATGCAGCATGGCTCCTCCCGTCCGTGTAGTGTCTGCTACGTCACACAAGAAAATCTTGACGACATGGACCCAAACCTCAACCATTGGCGCACAGTGGAATGCCAGAAATGGCTCTCCACGCTGGACCAAAAGCAAAGGGAGGCATACTCCACACATGCTGTGCCAGTAAGTTACATTCTAGCCCCCCGGTGTTTCACATCAACGCGTTCCGTATGAGTGTCTAAGGTCCCTCTTTCGATGTGCCCCTTCACATAATTTGTGTCCCTCCCAAACCCCATTCATGGCAGTCGTTCCTCTGGAATGTCAATCGCGAGCACGAGATACACGAGGACTGGGGAAACCCGTACAAAGCTATCATGCTTGACGGGTTGCACGTCATCTTGATTGGCGTGTGGCAATATATTCTCGAGGAGGTTGTCAAAGGGGAAGACATTGCTGAGAGGAACAGGTTTGCTAAGTGTGGTTGGGCCAAATGGCGTAATCACATCTCTTACGTACCCCTATTGTTTTGCTCCGTTGTTGGCCCAGGTGCTGTACCTCACTGACTTGTACTTTTCTGCAATTGCATTGTGAGATGTTTTTACTCTCTTTTTGTGTTGCTTATGCATGACAGGCGACACGGGGTCTTGGTGAGGGATGAAAGATTCTCCGCATATAAGCTGCCACCAGAGGGTCGTTATTTCAAGCCTGGAGCCAACTATTCCGGAGCTGAGCATGCTGCAATGATTCGGGTATGTCTCGTCTCAACCCATTGTGCCCCACATGTTGTTCCACCATTGCTCGGAGACACTGGGGTCCAAATTACTAATAGGTGCACCTCAACGAACTTCGCTGCCCTCCTTCCCTCCCCGAAACCCCTCTCGCCCTCTCCCCCACCCCCAGGTAATTCTCATCATCATGGGTGATGGGCTACTCAAAGCACCCGTGAAGATGACCGTGCTGCGGTTTTTTGTGGGCTGGTACCACAAGTACTTCCGGGTGGACGAGTACACCGAGAATCTCCTTCAGCAATACATCATGGACACAAAAGAGTAAGTCAAAACTTTGCGTAACCCGTATTTTCATCCTCTCTAATCCAGGATCAAAACCCATATGTTCACATCAAACCCCCTCCCCGCAGGTTAGTCCGTCTACTCGACACGAACTTGCCAAGGGCGGGCCATAAATGGAAAATCGTGAAGATTCATGGGCTTGTGCATTTTCCGGACTTCGTCCGGCGTGGGGGTGCACCTGGGGAGTACAGCACCGGGCTATTTGAGCATGCACACACGACATCGTGCAAGCGCCCTTTCCGTGCCTCCTACTTCAGAAATTACGACGACGCCATCATGCGGACGTCAGAAATGAGATGTGCATTGCGGGACCTACCAAGCGTCTTCGATGATTTGCCAGCTCGTGAAACGGCTATTATCAAGGTACAACCCTTTGGGCGTATCTGCGCAAGCAGCCCAAGCACCTTGCCACACGTGCCTGCTATTGCCCTTACCATCCATATCCTCATTTAGCGGTAGTTGCACCCATCTCTGCAACCCACAGAGCCACTTCAGCATCGCTATTCTCTGTTGCTCCCCAACTCTTCTTGTTTGGATCCCTCTGCCATATTTTACCCTGCACACACCATGGCCACCCTTGCATTCACCCTCCCATGCTTTGTTTTGCCAAAAACAGACCAGCACACACCCATACCTTTTTCTTCAAATTCTGGGCCAGCCTTGCATTCACCCACCTTTGCCTTATTCTGCCCATTTCACTCCTACACAAACCCATTCAATTTACTTTGAACATGGGCCTGCCAAGCATTCACCCTAGCCAATATTGTTTTTTCCTAGCCAGCTCAACACACACGCACGAAGGTTTTTTCCAACTTGGGCCAGCCTAGCATTCCACCTCTCTTGCTATGATTTATAAACCCAATCCAATCCTGCACTCCCCCGCTCAAGCTCTTCGAGTCCCGGGCCTGCTTTTGCATTCACCCCCCCTGCTTTATTATGCCCAAAACTTACCTGGTCACACCCGACCAAGCTCACACTATCCCCCGTATCCCGAAACCTGCGCCTTCCTTTTAAACTCGGGCAGGCTTTGCAAAGTCTGCATCACCCCCCCTTTCCCCCCACGCCCCCCTCTCCTTCATTTTGCCCGAAATTCCATCGCTGCCGCTTATTGTCCACAGGTGGTTGCTCTTCCCAACAGTGCTCCACCGCACTCGACAACTGAAACTTGTCAAAACCCCCAATGCATTCACCCTCCCGTGTTTTTCATTGCACCACTTCCTCCTACACCCACACCTCACCCATGTTTATGATCGTTCATCCCTTGCCACCCGCTCAGTACCTATTTTGTCCTTCTCATTTTCCTCACACTCTCCCATTCATGCCCCATGCTGCGCATCACCCTGTTGACACGCGACACAAAACAGGCAGAAAAGCACCAGCACCCGGTGCTCACTGCAACCAGCACTGCTGTGACGCTGCCACACGTGCTGGAGGGCAGGAAGGGCGAAAGCACGTGGGAGGCGTTGTCAACACAACATGACCCTGGCATGACCGAATTTCCTGCTGCGCTTGCTCTTCATGACATAGAAGTGGACACGATTCATGTAAGTAGGTGTAGAAGACACGGCTGCAAGAACGGAAAAAAAAGAAGAGGAGAACAAACATGCTGTCATATTGCTATGGACTAACGATGTTGTCACCCCATGCTACAAAACGCAGGTCCACACGGCAGTGGCTCTCCCTGCCAGCGACATGAACGAGGGCCATTACGCAAGGGCAACTACAACCTTCCACGGGAGTCCCTGGTTCTCCTACGTCTCACTGGACAGCATGCTACTCGGGTCACCAATGCCAGACACCCCGCCTGTTCAGTATGGCCAACTACTCATGCTATTTCACGTCCAGCGCCGCACCGGACGAGACGTCGAGAAGCTACCATTTGCATACGTACGGCTGTTGGATGTTAGAGGCGAGGACAGAGAAACTTCATTTTTAAAGCTGGTAAACCATCGACGGGCTGACACGTACTGTGTGGTACACATAGACGCTATATTGAGGGCAGAACATGTGGTACCAATGTTTCAACGGACCACTTTGAGGTTGCTGAACAAATATGCTTGGTGATGCAGTGTTTACTATTACTTAAAGTTTGAGGACTTTAAAAAGTAGTTGCATCTTTATCCTACATCCATGTATGCAAATTATATTGAAGACGAAATACGAGCTTCACACCAGTATTTTCAACCCTGAAGCAAGATACATATAATCTTCAAACGCATCCGCAGCTCAAAACCGAAGCGACAAAATCAAAGCCACCCAATCTGCTGGAGTTCCACCTTCCACAAAACAATCATTTGAAACCCTGGTACCCACAATGCTGTAACAACGAAACGAACGGCCAATCACATTCAACTCCACAGGTTCCTCGAACTTCCGACGAAATCGCTGGTGTAGGATTCCCGAGTCGCGCGCGCAAGAAAGCAATCAGAGCGGAAGATTTACAAAGCAACTCTGTAATACGCCACATAATCCCCACCACCTCGACCTCACAGATTTTGGGATGACATTCATGCGCGGTTGTTGTTTTTTTTTGTTTTTTTTTTTTTTCAGTTTTCCGATGCGTAGACAGCGCTGGACGCGCTGCGCTATCCATCTGGTGTGGTTTTGCGCGTTTTGGCGTCTTTCATTCGTGCTCGAGCTCTTGTTCCCCGCATCGTATGTTGTTGCGCATTTGCCGCCTGACAAGAGATGGTGCCCTTTGTGCCGTGCATACGTTGTTGTTGCCACATGACGCGTTTTGTGTTTTTTTTTCCTGCTTGCTACCGCGCAATCGTCGGCTAGAGGGACTTTCTGCCTCGTACCAATTTGTGTTTTTCTCTGTCGGCTCTTGCTTCACGTTTTTCGGTTCCTGATTGGTTTTCTGCACTGCTGCGTGAGTGGCGGAGCTTTTGTGTCTCACGATTTTGCACCTGTCTTCATTGTTCTGCGTTAGCGAATGCTCTGGGGTAGTTGGCGGCATTCGCCTCCAAATTTTCAAAGCCAAGTTCTTCGCATCCCTCGCAGCCAATCAAACCCTGGCTCCACTTTTACGAGCCGCGCTCTCCAAAGGGGGACTTCGCGCCTTGTAACTTGGGACCTGGGCTTTAAAGCCGCGGTACACATTCAACCGATTTGTCCTGAGAGCTACAGTGAAATTAGGCTTGCATGACGCAGATTGGAGCGCGAAAGTGACGAGCGGAAGGAGATATGAACAAGGGGGAGCAGAAGCCAACCACCTCTCGTCAATTTCGCAAATCCCCCCTCGCGAGCAAATGTCGGAAAAACCTGCTCAAATAAGTTGTGCCAATGCATCCCTTCTCGGAAGTATGCGCGAACGGCAAAGGCAGGCGGAGAAACACATCGCAAGCAGCCGATCGCAACTAATTGCGACAGGCGATTGGTTGGCAAAAGGAAGAGAAGGGCCGCGAGTGAACGCAGGGCCAGAAACAGCCCACATGCCACTCGTACATTGTACGAGGTAAGAGGGAGAAAAGCAAACCACCAGTCAACAAGCCACCAATAAGAAAACCGAGTGTGCCATACGAAACCCAGGACGAATAGCAACCCACAGACCCAGAAATCTGGAGGCTGGCGAGCGCCCCACGCCCTACACCCTACGCCCTTGCCACACACCACCTGTGACGCGAGTCCCTTCCTTGCCTTGAGTGCAAAACCAATGCAACTACAGTACAAGAAAACGCGGACAGCCCAAAAACACACTCGCGAAGCACCCAAAGGCGACCCACTGAATAAGCTTGGAACGCAGACTGGGGGACCTAGATATTAGGACAGCGACAGAGAGTAGGACACGTAGAAAAAAGATACGCGAGGCAAGGGGTGGCTGCTAAAGCCAGGTAAATCCCCCCCATATGAGGCAGTCCCTACAGAGAGCCGCACACGGGAAGCTGGAAAGGAAAAGCATGTGTTGTAAAGTACAGCAAGGTTCTCTCACCCTAACGCCTCCCGCCATCCGTGCATAGATCCCCGCATCAAATAACGCTGAGCCGCGCAGCCCATTCTAGTCGTGCGTCATGTCTCTCCCCCCTAAACCCGGCTCCACAGGGCCACTAAATCCGACGATGGTGGCCCCCCATCGTTGCATTACTCCGAAACCAAGAAACGGCAAACCCAGAACGCACATAGCGCACCCTCGCAACGGGTGTTCCACGGGTAGTGCGAGGCACGCGCCTCACTTCAGTGAGCGCTTCACACAACTGCCGCTCGTGGCGCAACTCAATTCCCCGCAATACATTGCTTGCTTTGCTGACAACCCGCTCCTCAATTTCCCTTCCATCTACACCTCAATGCCCCATGACACAGTGCCCTTGCATACGCTCCTCACATCTCCTCCATCTGCACCTCACTTCCACACCTCCCATGCTCCTCACCTCCACACCATCCAGGGTATGGCATGCGACAAAGATGCTGATGCGGGGCCAGCTATACAAGACTTGCGGGATGTGGCATCCAATGGTGAAACCAAGACCTTGGCGGTATCGAAGCACATGCAACTGCCAATCTGCTACCTGCAAATCAGGCTATCCTGCCTCATGGGAAGGATCGCAACTCTAGCGGACCTCGTGTACTTCCTACTGATGGCGGGGGACGGGGCCAAGGAGAAGCTGATGGAGGCGGCATTCGCTGCCGGTACGTCATCATACTGGCTTGTCGTGATAAGGACAAAAAATGCCATTCGCACCCTGACAAATCTTCCCTCCATGTACTCCATGCAGGGTCTGATGGGAACGCCGCTAGCACAAGTGTTGATGTGCTTCTCCGAGCATACGGGAATAGTTATGGTGGAAAGGGGGAGGGGACTATTGGGACGCCATCCGAGGTTATGGAGCGCTAAGCACGTGCCATCGCAGGACTGCAGAATGGTTTTCCAACATACACTATGGACGAGGATGGGAAGCTGCGGCAAAACGGAAAAGTGGTGCAGTGGGGAGGAGCGCGACGGGGCGCTGCGTATGCTGAGTCGAGGGAGCTTGGTGAGTGGGCGAAATGGATTAGGGCATGGCAGCAACTAGCAGAAGGAATGCTTTTGTGATACAAGGTTCTAGGTGCGCATACACATGTGGTACAGCCATGTCTCAGTGTATAAGCACAATGACCAAGCCCCTGCCCCCATCCCTCGAGCCCCATCTTCGTTTCCTACCCTAACCCTCTTCACTACACCTTTCCCCAACATGACCATTACTCACACTCCCACGCAGCAAGGGAGAGCCAAACGTGCGCCAGGATCAACATGCCTCTGACCGACGAAGAGGAGGAGTGGCACGATGTGATGATTGACCTTAATACCGCTCCGGTTACACTGGTTGGCGAGGTGGAGATCAACACTACCCAGCTCATCCAGCACGAGGCGGATCAAGAGCCTCGATGTGACCAACCCGCCGCTAACATCCCAAACGTGTGCGTACTCTCAGTTATGGTGTGTGGGCAGGTAACTGTGCTTTGCAGTGCATTATTACATTTCGAGGAACCCAAGGTAGGTGATTTCCAGACATCGCGCAGCGTGTCGTGCCATAACCGCCTGCACTCTTTCCGTTATTATTCACGCCTCATCTCTCGCCACATTCCAGAACAAGCACGGCAGAGCACAACTTCGAAGCAACGAAAAGGCCCGACGGATGGTTTGCACCATCGTTAGTGGATGGATTGAGGAATGTCATTTGCTTGTTGGACCCCATCCATATGCTGCACTTCTTCATCCTGCTTTCATTGCAATGCACTACTGGTGTTGGGTGCAAGGGGCGTATGAGGATGCAAGGATGGAAGCCAGGATGGGCCGGGTTTGGAATGTTGTGGGTATGTGATGTGTGCAAGAAGTCCACACCCGTTTGGTCGATAAAGCGACAGCCAGACGGGACCAATCCCACGGTGGCCGGTCGAAAACGACTGCCATTGATGCAAAGGTTTATGGCTGCCTTTGCACTAGGGGGCATAGGCTACCAAGTCATGTCTGAGGTCAGCAGGGATGTTGGTGTGCTGGTGCCATGTAAGACTACGTTCTACAAGTATATGAAGGGTGCCGGGGGTTTATGGGAGACCATCATTCGGCATGCTGACAAGTGCATGGAGTGTGTGAGGGAGGGCATGAAAAAACGCCCAATCCCAGGGCATTGGGTCTGTGTGGACGGCCGCTGGGGCCAACCAAGGGAGGCAGAATGGGCAAGTGTGACTTTTCTAGACCCTACGACCCTGAAGGTGCTGCATTGTGTAACCGTGTCATGCACCGAGGAGGGGGTTTCAGCGACGGCTCTTGAGGGGGTGGCGTTCCACCGTGGGCTGGATGATCTGAAAAAATGGGGATTCAAGGTGGATGGAATTATTACTGATGAGGGAGGGACTTTCAAGGCAGCCATAATCCGCACAGACATACTGCACCAGATGGATGTCTGGCACAAGGGCAGGTCGTTGGCTAAAAAGCTCGCGAAAGACATGGTCGATGCACGCAAGCGCGAGTTGCGTGTTGAGGAGACACTGACCATTGAGGACCTGTGGGATGTTCTGCCTGTGCATTTGAGGGGATGGCTGCGTGGTAAACTTGGTGAGAGTTTGCCTGGCATAAAAAAAAGAGCGACAAAGAAGGAGTTGATTGCTGCTGTATGCAAGGAAAGGGGGGTGGAGTACAGGGATCTCTCAGCATCAACATCACCGTTCTTATACCCTGAGATGCGGCAGGTTCAGCGTGTCCGTCGTGAGAGCCCCACGAGTGTTGGCCATGATGGCAATCGACGGGAGGAGGGTGGGTGCGTGGGGAGTGGTAATAGGGACGAGATGCGGAGTTCTGAAAGGGTTGTCGGAGAGTTGGGCGCTGTTGAGGTGGAAGTTCAGCAAAAGATGAACCACGGGGGCGTCGTGAACCAGGATGGATGCCACCTGACCGGGAAAGAGTTTGAGCCTGGATTTGTTTCAATCGATATACTCGAGGACAATTCAGACCCACCGCTTGATACCCCACCCCCGGATGTTGAGTACGCCGATGTGCGTGAACTTTGGGGGTATGACCCCCATCACACGAACGGGGTGCGACCCTGCTCGGTAATCTCGTTCATGATTTTGCAGGCAGCAGGCCAGACATGCAGGGGGGGGGGTGCAACAGCAGCAA